GAGAAATGACGCCCTGGCTGATGGGCGAGGGGTGCTGCCTTGAGGGTGCATCTCCCCATCTTGATATCTGAAGACCCTATCCCCAAGCCCCCCATCCCCCACACCCACACCCCACCCCCTCCATCTTCCAAAGCATGGAGTGGAAGGGTCTGGAATTAAAAGACCTGCGTGCCAATCCCACCTGGTGATTTTTGGCAAATTGCCTAATTTCCAGTGCCTCCTGTGTCCTCTGGAAAAAGGGCAGTTTGAGGCCTAAATGAGGTACGGAATAATGTCCGTGAAGCGCTGGGCTCCGTATCTGACAGTTCTGCACCCAATAAATGGTCGGTAATATAATGATTTCACCTTGAGGCTATGAAGGCCCTCCCACCACCCAGGCTTTAGTTTTCCCTACTACAGATCGCTGGCTCGGTGCTAGGCAGGGGCGCAGGGGCCAGCGCTTCCAAGTTCAAACACGGAACTAGGTGAGTGAGGAAGGAACCCTGGAGTTCTGGCTCCCAGGACTTTTCTAAGGGAGGGGAGACAGCACTGTGTCTGGGATGCTGCCAGGGCTCAGGGTGGAAGGCCTGTGAGTGAGAGGGGTCACTCCTACACCCCCCCCAACATTTCATGGGTGGGGACAGGTTGCTGGGCATTGGGGTGCTGTGCAGAGGGTACGGAGTCTGGGATAGCTCTTTACTTCTGTACAGCCGACTTTTGGAAACTGGGTGGTTGTTCCGTGGCATTTGGGGTTCTTTGAATGAATGTGAGTGGGTGTGAATGTGTAAGAGACTGTGTTAGTGTCTGGATTTGTGAATGATGAGGCAGGGTGCTGTGTCTTGACTCATCAGCCGGCAACTCTGCATTCATTTGTTTTTGCATTTACTGCAAATCTCTAGATACTGCAAGGTGGCGGTGGTGGTGTGTCCAAAGATGAGGACGACCTCGGCATGCTCCTGAGGGGCTTACTGTTTGACCGGGGACCCAGGCAGAAAAACAGAAGAGAAAAAGAAAGAGAAGAAAAACTATAAATGTTATTATATGTATTTTTTATTTAGATTTTTCTCAATAGGGCATGTGTGCCCAGAGAAAGACAGATAGAGACAGAGAAAGAAGGAAGGTGAGAAATCACCCACAGGGGGCATGGCCAGGCCTCAACCCCTTTTCCTTCAGTCTCTTCTTGGGATTTTGAGCATGTATGTGCACACACCTAGCATGTTTTTTCAAGCTGCTGGGTCCAGGACTCGAACCATAGAGTCAGCTGGTCATGCAGGATCCCTCACCTTAACCACCATGCCACCTGCTGGCCTGGTATGCTAATTATTTTAACTAATATTTTTTGAGCACTTACTAGTGTAAGATCCTATTCTTGGGACTAGCAAATGGTGTAATTGTTACATCGCTGGACTCCCACATAGTCGAGTGTGGTTCAAGTCCCAGACCAGGCAGCTTAAAACTCATGCCAGGTGCATGTGCATGTATGCCAAAAATCCTCAGAGGAGGAGAAGGGATTGTGGCATGGTCATCCATCCTGGGGGGAAGAGATTTCTCACTTTCTGTCTCTGTCTCTTCAGTGAGTACATGTACCTTATAGCAAAAATCTCTCCTTAAAAAAGAGAGGGGCTGGGGCCAGCAGGCAGCATGGTGGTTAAGGTGCTGGACACTGCCACATGGCCAACCACAGTTTGAGTCCTAGACATGGTGGCTTGCTTTCTCACTTTCTCTCTCTTTCTCTGTGTCTCTCTTGATCAAATTAAAATAAAATGAGTGAATGAATAAAATTTAAAAAAAAAGGAGGGGCTGGCAGGCGGTGTGGTGGTTAAGGACCCAGGACTGCCATATGGTCGACCGTGGTTTGAGTCCCAGACCTGACAGCTTGCTTTCTCATTTTCCCCCCCTCTCTCTTGCTCTCGCTCTCGCTCTCTCTCACTCTATACCTCTCCTGTCAAATAAAAAAATAAAGAAAGAGGGACCAGAAGGTGGCGTAATGGCTATGTTGCTGGACTCCCATGTAGTTGACTGCAGTTCAAGTCCCGGACCCGGTGACTTAAACTCATGCCGGGCGCGTGTGTGTGCGTGCCCAAGATCCCAAGAGGAGACTGGTGAAGAAGGGATTGTGGTGTGGCCATCCCCTCTGGGGGGTGATTTCTCGCTTTCTGTCTCTCTGTCTTTCTGGTGAGTGCATGCGCCCCATAGCAAAAACCTCTCAAAAAAAAAAAAAAAAAAAAAAGAGAAGAAAAAGAAAAAGAAAGAAAGTTAAATTAAATAATTTTTAAAAAAACTTCTGTATGTGGATTATGTCATTTAAACTTCACAACCTCTTAGCATGAATTTGAAACTATGACATGGCTTATGTCATTTAATAGTAATAACCTCACAAGGTAAGGATTATTACTATTACAAGTTATTATTTTTCTTATTTTATGCCTGGGGAATCTAAGGCTTGGGTAAATGTTTGCACTAGGTATTATAAAGCACAGATGACTCATAGATAAAGAATGCTCTGTCCATGGGACCAGCAGGTGGCATGGTTGTTAAGGCGCTAGGTGCTCCCACATGGCTGACAACGGTTCGAGTCCTGGACCTGGTGGCTTGCTCTCTCACCTTCTCTGTGTGTGTGTGTGTATGTGTGTACCTCTCTAGTCAAATTAAAAATGAATGAATGAATAAGTAAAGTTAAATAAATAATTTAAAGAAAAAAAGAATGCTCTGTCCAGAGGAGTCCCGCAGGAATCATTACAGAGGAAGAGTCATTTTTTCACCCATCCCTCTATCCACTCGTCCATCCATCCGTTCATCCACTCTCCATCCATTCTGTAAACCAGTATCAGTTGATTGCCTGCCACATTTCTTGTTATCAGAAAACACAACTGTGAACAAGAAAGGCTTCGGACCCCATGAAGTTTACAGAGTATCATCGGAACCTAGACAGCTAAAGGAGCAATTGCTCTCTAGCCTGACAAGTGCACTGCCTGGGAATGCTATGGGCAATGTCACCTAAATTCATCTGGAGGCAGGGAATCATGGGAAGCTTCCTGGAGGAGGTGGTGTTTAAGGTGAGTCCTGATAAAAGGAATCAGTAAGGTGAAAAAAGTAACTGCCAGAGGTGGAGGTGGGAGGGAAGGAAAAAGAAAAGGGGCAGGGGACTTCCAGGTTCTGGAAGGCTTTTTTAAAGTTTATTTATTTATTCCATGAAAGAGACACAGAGAGAAAGAGAGAAGGAGGCACCCCAACAGGGTCTTCCCGCCCTAGCCTGTCAGTGCGCCAACGTGCAGCAGGACCTTCCCACAAGGTCTCAGTATCACCCCGCTGGCTGCAGAGCCTCTGCTGGCCCTGGAAGGCTTTTTTTGGAGAGATTTTTGTTGTAGGATGCATGCGCTCACTGGAGAGACAGAGAGACAGAAAGTGAGAAATCACCCCCGGGGGATGGCCATGCCACAATCCCTTCTTCTCCACTCTCCTCTTGGGATTTTGGGCACATGCGTATTCACGCCTGGTGTGTTTCAAGCCGCTGGGTCGGGGACTTGAACTGTGGTTGACCACATGGGAGCCCAGCACCTCAACCACTACACTACCTGCTGGCCCGCTAGAAGGATCTTGACCTGTTTATTAAAGGAATGAAGGATGGATGAATGTTATTGCCATTACCTGGGTTCTGATAAGTGCCAAGTACTTTACATTCTCTATTTCATTTAATCCTCACTAGACTGCGAAGGAATAAGCATTAACATCTTGTTGGGGATGAGGCTGCTGGGGCTTAGAGAGCTTAAGAAATTTGCCCAGGATCATACAGCGGTTAAGAGGGAGAGACAGGATTGGAACTCAGAGCTGTTTGACACCAGATGAGGGCTCTTCACCACTACGCTTACCTAGTGCGCAGGGCAAGGAGAAGCACTTGACGGTCAAGGTCCAGGAGTACAAAAGGTGTATTTTTGTTTTCTGATTGAAGCCAGTGGTCTAGGCTCTGCCTTGGGCAGGATGAGGAGCTGGGCCCCAGGGGGCAGAAACCAGCTCTCACGCCCAATTAGGCTGTGGATTTGCCCTGTGTGTCTAGGGGAGTTTCATCACATTTTAGGGCTTCCATGTCTTTCTTTGGCTACTTAACTGTCTGGGACAGCTCTGGGAGTCTGTGATTCTTACACTGAAGACAACTCTCCATTGGCATTCATTAAAATATTTCAAAGAGGTCCAGCCAGTGGTATGGTGGCTAAGGCAGCTGGATCTCGTGTAGCCAACTGAGTAGTTCGAGTCCCAGACCCAGTGACTTGAAAAATGTG